CCCCCGGTCAATATGACTTCTCAATAGTCACTAGAGAAACGGTGAAAGAAACAGCGGACTGAAGGCAGAGAGGCGCAATCCGGCGAAAACGATCCAATGAGAGAACATCCCGTTAGAGGCTCGTTAGACTGGATGGCCATGAACCCGATGTGAGCGAAGCTAGACTTTAAGGATGAACTACTCTTGTGCTGGCCTAGGTCAACTGAATGATCGACCCCTTCCTTGGCGGAAGGTTTGTCAAAATAAGGATTCCGGAGCTGCTGTGCGATTCCTTGTCAAGTTGTCAGGCGCCAACTGTGCCTCCTCAGTGAGGAGTCCTCACGTGAGATGAATTCATGAGGGCACCTTTGACCCGCAGCTTACGGACCTTAACGTCAAGTGGCTACGGACTCTGGGAGAGGCACCTTGTGGCACCTCACGCTCTCCACCTTGACGTTCCTTCATCCCTTCGCTCCACTCGACTTCGCGGCTCAATGTGGTTTTCCCGTGGGTTACCCGACTCGATGCTCCTTGAGCATTTCTGGCGAGTTGGGTTCTCTTAGAAAACCTATTGTGTTACATCTTTACAGGCTAGTGCGTGCTCAACCTTTGTCGGGCTGCTACGTATGATATTCAAAATAAATCACAATTGAACGGCTAGAGCCAGTGAAATGGGGTGAAATTTCTCTACATTCCGTAGCAAGTGCCGGTTTGATTTTAGCGCGCGCCCGGGCCCCCCGCTTCAGCTTCAATTTGTGGGTGATGGACTGAGTTTTTTTTGTAGAACCGGCCGACTACCACCCTGAATCAAAGTCCCTGATCCGAGCCGTGGTCACTGCATTACCTCGACTCTACTCAGCTGCGGCCTATACTCGCATGCCAATAAGTATAACTGTGCAGTTTACCCGTTCACAGAGTGGTTTATTATGTTGGTCGCCGTTCGTTAGATCGCCGCTAGGAGCATTAGGATGAGGCGACAAGGTACGAGCGCGCTTGATTTGTATTCTACTAGCAATTCCAGACATGTAGGAAGCGAAGTATATACTAGTACGAAGTAGACAGCACAAAATAGAGAGCACAGTGAGATAGGACAAGACAAATAGAGAGAGTAGTATTGTTGTAACGTTGTGATCTCGTTGTCTCTTTCGTAGCTATCACAAAGCTTGCCCCCTTTTCTTATCGTCTTTACTATAAGTACAATAAGTTATTCAACCTCATCTAAAGGCCCTGAGTTTATCACCAATGACAGTCGCTGAGTCCTCGGAGGAGCTCGAACATGATACTGGAACCGAGAAGGACTCAGTGACTAATACTTCTTTGTCTCCGGAAGTGATTGCTGTTAGAGACTTGATTATTTCATGGCTTACGATGGTGCCTGTTGGTATTAATGTTCTGAACGTTGCGGTTGAAACCCTCAGGGCTGTTGCCCCCGATGATTCTAAGGAGACCTTTGGTGAAGGGGTTGATGCTGCTTCATTGGTGACTAACGTGCACGAAGGTAAGGTTGCAACTGTCATCAAGATGTTGTATGAGTATGGCCGAACAGAAGATCGTAAATTCCAAGCTGCACCACGATGGGTATTTTTAGGAGACTTCTTCCTTTGGTTACTAAAAAATGGGGTGCTACTTGTCAAGAACAACTGAATCGTATTGGTTTTGAAGAAGAATTGGGTGGTCAGGTCACCTCGATTATGTCCAAGAAGACTAAGCCTGTGACGGTATCACCAATGTATGAGGAGCTTACAGAAGGGAAGGCCGATCCCCACCTCGACAGTTACTAATATTGGTAGGAAGGATTTATCTGAAGGTCGTCGCATTGCTCTTTCTGTGGAGCCTGTAAATTTCTGGTACCGGTGATCTGTTA